GCCGAACTCGGATAAGTCTGGATTTGTTGCGCCTCGCATCAAATATGTATCGGCTCTACATATCGTTTCCATCAAGTTTTGTCTCAGTTTCTCCGATTACCGCCTATATTCGCCAATGAATACACCTAAGAGCAATTGAGGCAACAATTAGTTCGGAACGAGACTGGCTCCTACATAACAACACGCAGTTCACGTTGTCGAAAGCTTTACTTCGTGCAGCCATATTGTCTGAAATAAGGGAAAGAGGTCTCTGACGGCCGAGGACATAATTAGCCAGCACCTTTGCATCGAGACTCCAATGTCTTTGGTAGTCGAGATCAACTGGGCAGTACCAGCTTGACTCATCTAGCATCTCAGATACAATCAGACATAAGTGGTATAAATGATACGATTTCAGCCGCTAGTAGAGAGAAGGTAGCGGCAGGAAGACATTCGACTAGAAACCGGCACTCAATGGCGGCTGTAAGGGAGGCGGGAGGCGCACTCATTGCCGATGTGGAAATCTTCCGGAGTGCGGGGACATTATCTACATGCAATCAATTCTCCGACGCTTGAACGTTTCAGCCCTTGTATGCCGCAACACCAAGACAATGTACATTAAACGTGACCCAGCCGCCAGAGGAAGGTAGCATATCTGGCTGGATAACAATCATCGCGAGTGGGAAGGATTGAACGATGCTCTCCTGTGCGTGGGACAATTTCCCAGCTTATCAACCCACCTACCTAATGAGGCCGAAAGACCGTCCTTAATTGCAGCCACTACAGCAGTAAAGGTGTGCGTGGTAATCAGCGGTGGAGATTTACCATGGAAGAACACATGGTATATCATTGGGCATGCCGCAGCAGCCCTCATCGCTGCAAGCCCTGAACAGCGCCGACAACCACAGCTCTTGATCCAACCCAAGTAACTACACCCACGATCATGCAGTTCTCTATTCTCCTCGTCGCGGCATATGCCTGCACCGCCTCCGCACGCCTGACCTGGTCCTTGGCAAAGGCGTCCAACCCCACCGCTGACCAAAGAGACGCATACACCAAGATCGAAGCTGCAATGACAAAGGCCGTCGCTCGCTACGAGAAGTACTCCGACGCAAACAAGACGATTCGTGTGGCCTACGCCCCGGGTGTTCCTACTGCCGAGGCGAACTACAACGGTGATCTACGATTCGGCTCGAACCGCGCTTACATGACGGAAAGGACTGCGATGCATGAGATAAGCCACACGCTGGGAGTTGGCCAGACAGCGGCTTTTGACAGAAAGTGTGCTGCGGGCGATTGGCGCACGGCATTACCGCTGATCAAGAGCTTTGATGGAGCAAATGCGAAGATTACTTGCGGTGGTGGACACTTCTGGCCATACGGTACGATAAAACTCGATGTGCCAACTGGACGTGAAACGTAGACTGACTTGCCATGTCGATATTTCAGGTCTGAACTACGAGACCGAGTGGAGCGAGACGAATGCGAACCGGCATGTGCAGTTGATTGAGGCTATGCTGACTGACGGGATGTGAGGTGATCGTTGTCCAGTACACTGTTACAATTTAGCGTTTATACAATGCGAACGAACCCCGATCAGTCATTGTGCTACCATCGTTTACCAAATGAAGTGCTCCGTGATCTCTCAAATTGTCGCAGACGATGCGGATAGAGCATCGATACATGTCTGAGTTTCCTCGCCGCCTATTGCTTCAACTTCCAGACGCTAATCATGTCGTCGCCGCGACTTTGTTTGAAAGAGACCGGGGGCTTCCAATACACAACCCTTTCGAACGAGCCCTGCTCCTTTCCTGTTCCGAGAAGATTGCCGGAGTCGTCGAACAGACCATCAGCGCCATCGGCTAGGAGGTTCCAGTGTACACCGTTCAGACCCCATGGCGGACCTTGAGCTTTCAGAGGCTTCCACATTGGAAATTCGAGGCACACGAGAACACCGGTTGGCGACAAAAGGCTCTTCATGCGATCGGCCCAATCTCTTCGCATCTCAGGAAGCAGGGCGCACAGGAACTAGATCGACGTTGTTAGCACTCGTTATGAGAATGTCGGCCGGGACTCTTTGCATGCCGAACGTACTGTATAGTCATAGATTAGATCGAACCCCTGGAAGTCGGGCCCGAAATGAGCCTCGAATCCCTTTTGGAAGAAATCGCCGAGCACGACGTCAGCGACGTGGCCAGCTGAAGGGTCTAGATGAGATTTGACGTTTTCGTTTGCGGCATCCACGGCTCCTTGGGAAATTTCTAGACCCCATGTCCTGAAGCCATGACGTGCTAATAGCGCCACATCATGCCCCTTACCGCAGCCCTACCGCGTGATGAGTCTCTGTTAAATACGGTCGTCAGGAGACACCTACAGGCACAAATGCCTTCAACTGCCGTTGACTCTGGTCTCGGAACAGCGTCTCACGATAAGGATGTTCTTCGAGGAACATAGTCAGAGCAGGCGAGGCTTGGCCCCGATCCCACAGATCCTGTTCCTTCTGTTCCCACAGTTTGGCCCACCCGTCGCTCTGTGCATCTCGGGTGCTGGAACCGTTAGTTGTGGCTACGGAAGTGGCGGCACGTGGCGCTCCTTACCTGTAGCCATCAAAGTGGGAGACCAGGCGGGTCCTGTTTTCAGCAAACTGGGTTTCGGAACTCATGGTGCGGGAGGATGCAAGGATTGAGGATGTCACGGCAAAGCCTGGAAGCCGGTTCAGTGGTAACAGAGATCTGTTGATCCATGCGCCACGCTAACCTCGTGCCTGACGCTACCTTGCTGGAGACAGCGCATCCTTGACGTCACCCCACCTTTTTACCAACAACACCAATAACTTGCTCTAGGCTCCTACTTGCCCAGTCGCGTGAGCTTAGATTCTTTCGCATTCACCAACAATGAGTTAGAGACGGTAGAGTTGCAGGATTGCGGCTGTGCGGCTTAGAGCACGACCGGGGCGTGGCTATGGTAATACAGAGAACAACATCTCGTTGCATACATCCAATATCGGAGTTAAGCCCAGGCTATGTGCCTATCGACCCACATGGACACTACTGTACACTACTGGACACAGCCGTTCTTGCCATCACGGCTGGCCAATAAAGACTATGCGAGAAGTCACTGCGTTGTAACGCCACAGCTTGGGGACTTCAATATTAACTTTGCTAGCCGACATCCGAATGATATTACCCGACTTCCTGTTTCCTCACTTTAAAAGCCACATCTTGGCCATTCATAGGCCAAGACTTTGGAGTTGAACGTCATAGAGGCGCAGTAGGGAGAACAAGAATAGAGCTTTGCGCCTGGCAGCTGGTTCCGAGATGCCGTTTGGCTCCGCGAGAGCCACTCGGAGCTTGAGTCGTTGCATTGCACTCGCTCACCGTTTCAATGCGTTGGCGCGTAGCACTTTCCATGAATCTTGGAGGGATGCCACTTGCGGCTCTACAAGAGTCACGGCAGGCGCACTCTCTTGGTATGAGTCCCAAAGCTTAGTGAGCGCCATTCTCCTTCTCCTTCTCATCTCTCTGTCGGAGACTTATACCAGCACCCATGGGTCGCCTTCTCCTAAACACAGTCCCACACAGCGCGCGGACTCTATACTATCTGCGCTACCGGGTCGCTGTTGTATTCTTCATACTCGCCCTATTCCAGCAACAACATCTGTACCTCACTAGTCGACAAGCACTCTCAGAAAAGTACTCTGCGACCGACTTTAACTCTCATAACGAAGGAGGCCTACAAGCTCGATCTTGGCAACCCGATGACGAAAGTTCGAAGTTGGAAGAAGAGCTAATAGCAAACCGGGCGTCTTGGAAAGTGCTTGGCGAGGGCTGGGAGGGCAAGGTGTTCGCCTACGGAGACTCGGTTATCAAGACGTTCACACCAGGGCGGAGTCCATTCCGAAATTGCGCGCCAGATGCGACCAAATGGCCAACGGAAATACCCGCATCACTACAATTTGGGGGTTCCGCTGCCGACGAAGCGGACGCGACGAAGAACGGCTTCCTTCCCGTGAGAGCACATTTCATGGCTTCTGCAACGCCAGGTGAACCGGCCGAATGGCACCTCGTCACTCCTCTGCTCAAAGGCGGCAATCTTCGGTCACTTGCCAACAACCTGTCGTCGGAAGCAACGCCTATGGCCTATAGTCAGGTCGACGGACGCTATCGGCCAGCCTTCAACCAATTACTTGAGAATCTGGGAACTTTGCACCGTGCAGGCTACTGTCACGATGATATCAAGCCGGCGAACATCTTTGTTCAAGACGAGTCCCACTGGGCAATCGGCGACTTGGGCAACATACGAGAAGTGTCCCACCCCTACCACTCGTCGCGTATCTGGAAAGACAACGACCAGCTAGGGGATTGCCGCGCAAACGATGTGCTACGAGCTTTGCAAACATACCTGAAGTTTATTCAGTCTTCTGTTGCCGATGAAGACGACTTCAATGCAGCCTTGTACGAAGGTCAGACACCCTTGAGCAGACTCTTTTGGTGGACACTTGCCGATGCACCACATGTGAGTGCCAATGAACTTCGTCAACGTTCCCTTTCCGAGCACCCTTTAGCGGAGACAAAGGTGGATGACAGAGTCCCTGTACCTGCGCGACCTCATGCTTTTCTGAGCCTGTTCTCCGAGCGCGAGGCGGTCAAGCGGGCCACTGACCAAGCACTTATGACACGAATGGACGAGAGGAGCGTACGACTTTGGGGCATGGTGTGGTTGTTCGGCGTGCCCCAGCCGGATCTTTGTTGAGCGACCTTTAGCGGTTTGTGGAGTTCGATACCCAAGGTACACGGCGTTTTATTACTACCTAATGAATTGATTCTTCATATTTTTCGGCAGAGAAGCAGGTTCTAAATTGTCTGGTATTACAAAGTTTATCTGATGAAAGTGAAGAACTCCTGTTGCATCGGGTATCAGCCATCTTGGCAAGAACAATCTCCCACACGTTGTTTCCTGCATTGCAGTCAGTTTGGCTCCCGTTTGGTGGAGGGAACACCGCTTACCTGTAATACATGATCTCACCACCAGGGGCAGTCGTCGTAATCAATACCGCCGCCGGCGAAATCACCGTTCTGGTAACTCGTGTACGTCGTCCTTGCCCTGTTTATGCGGTCTTTCTCGTCCTCAACCACAGCTTCGAGCTCTTCCCTGTCAAGCTTATTATGTTTCTTGACATATTCGTAGACCTGGTACAGCGAGAACTTCTTCGCCTTTGTCTTTGTATTCTCGTTGACCTTGTATTCGGCACCAGCGTCGATGAGTTCCTGAGCCGTGACCTTCCACCACTTCCTGAGGTACTTCTCTTGCATGTAGAGATGGTACGTGCCACTCTTGAAACGCGATGGAGCGCTGGAAACAGGAGGCAACGCTCCACTAGCTCTGCGTTCTGCGTTCCACTGGTCGATGGCTCTCCGGATAACGTGATCGCGTGGTAGGTTTCTGCAGCACGCGCTGGATATCCATCCAAGGTACTGTTCGTCGAAGCGACTGATGTGCGCTAGTGTGTTCCCCTTGTGCTTCCCGGTTTGAATGAAGTAACTGTGCAGAGGGTTCCTGCGCGCGGACTCCGCGTCTGGAGATTGCTCGTTGATGTATTCGCGTTGTACGTCGAAAGACCCGGGACCTTTACCCCGCCCGGCGTTGTTCCTTAGTGACGCGCCGTAGGGCGAGCTGCGGTAGCCCTGGGTATTGTAGAACAGAGAGAAGTGTATAATATATTAATAATCTATATAAAGAGAGAAACCCCTAGTATATATAGTAGAGAGGTAACGCTAGTAAGTAAATATATAGTAAATAAGTAGATTACGTATATAGATACTTAACTAATAGCTCTTCTAAATTCTAACTTAAAATATATACTATTTATATAATAAGAGATACTTAAAGTACTATAAATAGTATTAAACTTTATAAAGTTTAATACTTTTATAAGTATATTAGCTAGATTTACTTTACTACTAATCTATATAATAGTAATATTACTATTATAAATATATTTATAAAGAAAATAGTAATAAATATTAATATATTAACTATATTAATAGAACTTAGAATTTTTTAATAGCTTAATAGTAGACTTATTATTAATATAAATAGAAATATTATTAAAATAAAAACCTATATATAAATTATTAATAGATTCTTTAACTTATAATACTTTTTTAACTACTTTAGAAAAAGCTATATATTTAGCTTTATATATAAAAAAAGTAGTAACTTTCTAAATATCTAAAAACTATAATACTAGTCTTCTAGTAAGAGTAAAGATATATTCTATAGTAGAGTAATAAGTATTAAAATAACTAGCTTAGTTAGAGTTATAGTAGCTAAGTAGCTAAGTATTACTTTTATAATAAGTAATATCTATATTAGTAGTATACTATATATATATATAAGCGCGCGTAAAAGTATTAAAATAAGTTTAATTAAAGTTAGTATTATACTAGCTATAAAAAAAAGTAGTATATATAAAGTTAATTTATATTATAGTAAAAAAGTAATTAAGTAAACTAAATTTTTAGAAGTACTTCTTATAAAATTATACTTTAGTAATAGTATTCTTTTCTTAATAAAGCTTATTATAATAGTTATAAAAAGTCTATATAAATAGAAGATTATAGAAACTAAAATAGTCTAGTAGATATTAAATATACTTAGCTTAATAAATCTTAATAGTACTTTATATATATTTAATATATATACTAAAGTAAAAAGTATTAAAATCTTTAAATATAATAGTAAATATCTTAGATAGTTTTTTATAAAAATTATAAATAAGTATATAGCTAGTAGTATATATATAAATATTATTAATATATATAAAGATAATAAGTACTTTAGTAGTATAGATATAGATATATAAGTTAAAGAAAAATATATAAAACTCTATCTAAAGAAGTTATATAGTAAGTATATTATACTATATATAAAAGGCTTATATAAAACTATATAAGAACTTTATAAGTATTTAGACTTTATCTAGAGCTAGTATTATAAATAGAGGTAGTATAATATAAAGTATTTTCTAGAGAGTAGTATTTAAAAAGATAATATAAACGTTAGATTAGCTAGTAATCTAATTAAGTAAAGTATATATTATAAGTAAAATATAAATAAATATAAACTATATAGTTAAAAAGAATATTTTATTATAGTTACTAGAATATTAGTAGTTTCTATAAATAATAATATAAGCTTTAAGTTTAGTAAAATTACTAGTAAAAGTAGATTTAGCTTTAAATATAATTTTTATTAAAAGAATCTTAGTACTAGTAGAAAAAGTTACTACTTTATATACTCTCTTCTATAAAAGTAAGTTAAACTTAGTATATATTATAGTACGCTAGCTATCTACTTAGAGTATAGTTATAGCTTTTTTATAATTCTATAGTATATAAATAAATATAGTAGAGATAGAAGGTATAGTAGTTATAGTAAGATTAAAATATAGATTATTAAAGTTATTATTAAAAAGATAAGTACTAGATAATAAGTCTATAACTTATAAATATAAGTAATTAAAATTATTATCTAGCTAGTTATTATAGGCTAGTGCACTAATACCTTATAAAGAGAGAGATAAGAAGTAGATAATATTATTATTAAGACTATTATAGATCTTAATATTATAGTTTAAGATATAAAGTCTCTAAGATAACTTAAGATACCTACGCAAAATCTATACAATTACTAGTAATTTATATTCTATACGTAATTATCTATAAGCTCTAGCTATATTAGCTACTATATTATATAACTACTATAACTACTATCTATACTTACTATTACTTATCTATCTACCTACTTATTCTCTATCTATACTAATAAGTCTTTAGCTCTTTTATAGTAAGTATCTAAACTTTATAATAATACTTAGATTATTTCTAAAGTTATTTTTCTACTATTCTACTAGCTAGGCTATAGTAGTACCTTATCTTACCTTTAAGTTTATATCTAATACCTTACTTATATATAGTAGTACTATCTACTTCTAGCTAAGAGTTTTAGTATCTTTTACTTTTTTTAGAAAGTTTCTCTTATAAAAGTCTAGTATATAGTCTTACTATTATAAGTTAGTAAGTAGCGTTTAAAGCTTTCTAAGCTAATTAGTTATAATTATATAAACTTTAGATAAATAGTTACTATAGTATATCTAGCTATAAATATCTACTATAGTTAAGACTATAAGATTACTATTAATTAAGTTAATTATAGCTATTATAGTAAGATTCTTAGAATTAAAGCTTTACGCTAGGCTTATATCTCTTACTATATCTAATACTATCTAGATATTTTATAGATTAGATATAAAAAGTAAGCTATTCTAGAAAATCTTTTAGTTCTTTATAGAGGCTTATAGCTATACCTATCTCTACTTAAGAGCTAGATACTAGAGTTCTATATTATTAGACGTAATAATAGAGGTATAAATAACTAATATATTAATAGACTATTATAATATTATTATTATTTTTATTATTATAGTTATAGTTATAGTTATTAAGCTTTTAAGAAGAGTTTTAAGAAGTAGATAAAGTTATAGAATAGAGAAAAGAATAAGTTTATAGAAAGTAGATATAGACCTTTTATATAAATACTATATATAGTAACCTAGAGATAAACTATAGTATTAATCTCTATAATAGTATTATAACTATAGTTATCTACTATACTCTATAGCTAATAGAGAGGCTTTTATTTAAAACTATACTACTTTCTAACTTCTAGCTTTTCTACTAATAAGAGCTACTTATTATTACTATTAGTATCTATCTAGCTTTAAAAGCTTATCTAAATATATATTTCTAGAATATTAATATTTTAATAGCTCTATAGCTCTATAGCTTACCTATTACTACTTCTAAGTTTACTCTTAAGTTTTTTAAAGAAGCTTCTTTTACTATTATCTTTTATAAGTATATTATTATTATTATTAAAGTACTATATCTATAGTAAACGTTATAAAGAGAGTTTTATTAATAATACCTACTACTATATTATAGCGAATATAAGGTGTTTAGAAAATATATCTATATTAAGATTACTATATAGAGTTACTAGACTATATTTTATTACTCTACTCTATATTAATATTCTACTATAATTATAGTTTAAAGAATATAAAAGATATAAAGTAACTAAGAGATCTAAGTTAAGTAGATTATTATTAAAAAGACTTTTATCTATATTTATAGAGTTATTAGTATTATTATTAAGCTTACTTCTTTAATAGAGATTAGTAGTATATTTATATTTTATATAAAATATATTATAAATAATAGTAAAGAGTTTAATATTATTATTAAAAGAATAAGTAGCTTTCTCTTTTAATAATAAGATATTATTATTAACCTTCTTAGAGTAGTATTTAGTGTAACTATAAGCTAATAAGTACTTAGTTAAACTAAGATATTAGTAATATAGATAGTGCTAAGAGTAGTTATATTTTACTATAAAGTATAAGAAATAAATATTATCTTATAACTAATAAAGCGCACTATTAGAATATATACTTATTTATTATATACTATTATAGAAGAAGTAGCTATAGATAGTCTTAAAATATATATATTTAGAATATAGAATATTTAGATTATAGCTAGTATAATAAGAGATATAATAATTATTTAGCTTATTATCTTTAGTAGAAAAAGATATATAAGCTTAGTTACTAGTAAGATAGATGTTATAAAAGTATAATCTATTATATTACCTAGAACTTAAGCTATATATCTTTAGAGTCTACTTAGATAGTTTCTAGTATATAAAATAATAATTTACTTTAGATAATATAAAGTAAAATATTAGAATTTATTATAGAATATAGGTAAGATATTAGTTAGTAGATTTATAGTAATTATATAGTTTTCTAGATATATTATAGATATATATATAAATTAGTATCTTTAAGTATTTATATATTTAATATATATTTAATATATAGTTAGCTTACTTATTAGTAGCTAGAATACACTAGTAATAGTATTAATAGTAAAATTAATATTTAGAGTTATTAGACTTAGAGTTTCTATAATAATATTTTCTATAGACTATATAATTTAGATAGTTATTCTATATACTCTTAGAAACTAGAGTTAATAATATAGCTTTATAACTAAAGAAAAGACTAAAAGTAGAATTATCTTATTAAGAAGTACTAAATAAAATAAGTAGTATAGAAATATAGTTTTAGATATTTTATAGAGTAGAGAGAACTAAAATATAAAAGTTTAGATAATTATTATTAGAGCTATATTTAGAGAATATATTATCTCTACTAAAAATATAAATAGACTTTAGATTAGTATTA